CTTTGAGATTCACTCCTATCATTGAATGTATCAAGAACATATTCCTTTTTTACTTGCTGGATAGTATTCTAGTGTATTCATAGAACAAAATTTGTTTAGTTATTCACCTATGAATGGACATTTGGGTTGTTTCTAGTTCTTTCAGCTTTTGGAAATAAAGTTTCTATGAACATTTATATTTACAACTTTGAATGAATATATATTTTCATTTTTGTTGGGTAAATTTCCAGGAGTAGAATGGTTGGGTCATAAAGTAGATAAATGTTTCATATTTTAGGAAAATATGAACTGTTTTCCATAGTTTTACCAACTATGCACAATGAGAGCTCCACTTGTTCCACATTCTCACCAGTACTTAGTATGGGCAATCTTTTAAGTATTAGATATTCTACTAGATTATAATAATACTACATTGTAGGTTTATTTTGCATTCCTCTAAATATTAATGATGTTGATCATCTTTTTATATGGCAACTGTATATCAGCCTTATTAATGTGCTGTTTATTTAATATGCACCAGTTTAACAAAAAACTAAAAGAAGTACTTGTTGAAATAATTCATCTGCCCATATATTCCTGAGGCTTTTGCATGCTTTGAAAGTATCTTTAATTTGTCTGTGGCTTATGTTTTCATTTTTTAACACTGTCTTTTAAAGAAAAGAAATTCTAATTTTGATAAAATCCAATTTACCAATTGATATTTGGTGTTTTATTGAAGTGAGTTTTGCCTAATACAAAGCCATAATATCATTTCCTATGTTGTCATCTAAAATGCTTACAGTGGGCTGGAGTTGGGCTCAGCAGTAGAGCGCTCGCCTAGCACCTGCGGGGCGCTGGGTTCGATCCTCAGCACCACATAAAAATAAAATAAAGGTACTGTGTCCAGCTACAACTAAAACGAAATACTTTTGAAAAAATGCTTACAGTTAAGTTTTGAGTTAATTATTAGTAAACCACTCTTGCATTCCTGGTGTAAACCCACCTCATATATGTTGTTATATATTGTTGAACTTAATTTTCTAAAATTTTGTGAAGGTTTCTTTTTAACATTTATTTTCACAAACCGTGTTTTTCTTTTACTATAATGTCTTTGTCTAGTTTTTATTATCTGAGTAATACTGGCCTCCTAGAATCTTCTGTTTTCTGGATAAGGCTGTGTAGAATTAGTATCATTTGTCCTAAAATTTGGAGTAGAATTTCAGAATGAAGATAGTAAAGCCATCTGGGCCTGAAATTTTCTTTGTGGAAAAGTTTTCAACTAAGCATTCAATTTCTTTAAGAGTTAGAACTATTCAGGTTATCTATTTCTTCTTGAGCGGGCATTATTTAATGTACCCCTTAATAAATTGATCTTTACCATATAAGTTGAGAAATTAATTGGCAAATACTTGTTCAAAATATTCTTTGGTTTACCTTTAACTGTCTGATTATCATCTTTCTCATTCCCGACAATGGTAATTTGTATCCTCTTTCCTTCCTCAACAGTCTAGCTAGAAGTTTATTAATTTCTTTGATCTTAATTTCATTGATTTTTTTTTTTTTTGGATGTCTGGCTGCCTCTCCTTTGGTGCTGAGAATAGAACCAAGGTTCTGAGTATGCTAAGAATGCATTCTATTACTAAGCAACACCTCCCATTTTTCTTATAAATTTCATATAAATGTATTCATATAAATTTCCCTCTGAAAACTTCTTTAGTAGCATCTTACAAATTTTAATATGTTATATTTTCATTTTCATTCAGTTCAAAATACTCTGACATCTTCTTTGATTCATTTTTTTATTTAGAAATGTGTTACTTCATGGTCAAATACTTGGTTTTTTTCAAAAAGATTCTGCTATTGATTTTTAATTTAAAATTTTAAAATTTATCCATTATAGACAAAAAACACACTTTGTAGTACTTGAATTATGTTAAATTTACTGAGACTTTTTTCAGAGTCAGAATATGACCTACTTTGGGTTCACATGCAGTCTGTCCACTTGAATGTCTTCTGCAATTGTTTTTTCATTATTTCATAAATAATAGTTAAGTCAAGTTGATTGATATTGTGCCAATCTTCTAGATCCTTACAGATTTTTTCTACTTGTTCTATTAATTATTGAAACAAGATAATGTTATTGCTCACAAAAGCTCAATCTTTTTCTCCTTTCCTTATAGTTCTATCAGCTTTCACTTCATGTATTTTGAAGACATATCATTAGGTGAGCAAATACTTGAATTGTTATGTTCTCCTCATAAATTAGCACCTTACTCATTATAAGATGAACATTTATCACTGATAATATTCACTTAAGTTTGCTTTTCTGATATTAAGATACCCGCTCTAGCTTTCTTTGGATAAGTTTTACAATTATACAGATCTTTCTATACATTTACTTTTAACCAATTTATATCTTTATATTTAAAGAGGGATTCTCCTAAGTACAAACAGATGGGTCTTCTTTTTTCATCTAATTTAATTTTTTATTTACAATGCCAATGTGGTTTAAATCTACTGTTTTGTTATTTAATTTCTTTCTGAGTTTGTTCCCATTTTCATATGTCTATTTCTAGATTTATTTTTATTATTTCATTTTTATCTACTTTTTTGGCCTCTTAGCCAAACACTTTATTAGCTATGTTAGTGGTTGCTTCAGTAATTATACATCTTCAAATGTACATTTACTTTCAGTGGACAAAGGATATAAGAATCTTTCTTTCAGTTCTCTCCTATTGGCGTTTGTGCTATTTCCATTACACATTTCACATTTTACACATATTATTATTTCCACAATATATTATTATTAATATTTACTTTAAACAATTATGTTTTAAAGAGGCTTAGATAATAATAATATTGCTGTATCTCCCATGTAGTTACTCTTTCCAGTGTTCTTTATTTCTCTTTGGCATCATTTTTCTTCTACTTGAAAGGATTCCTTTTACATTGCTTAGATGTAGTAAAGATCTACTGGTGATGAATTCTTTCAGTTTGCGAGTATCTGAGGTTTTTCTTTTGCCTTAGTTTTTTAAAGGTATTTTCACTAGAAGAGGTTTCTATAATAATGGGTTTTCCCCCTTTTAGTACTTTAAAGATTTCTTCCACTGTCTCCTCACTTGCACTTTTGCCATTAATAATCTGCAATCTCCTTTATCTTTACTCCTCTTGTCTATAATGTCTTTCATTCTATCTGCCTTTGTGATTTTCTCTTTATCACCAGTTGTAATCAATTCTATTATGATTTGCCTTGTCCTTGTTTCTTCTTATTTATTTATTTGTGCTTGGGCTTTGGTGTGCTCTTGGCTATGTGGTTTACAGTTCTCACAGAATTTGGCGATTTTTCAGATAGTATTTCTTCAAATGATTTTCTTTTCCTTGCTTCATTCCTTCAAAGACTCTAAATACTCAGAAATTCGACAATATATTTTCCTGACATCTCACTGATAAGCCATTCTTTTATAAAATAACTTTTTTCCTCTCTGGATTTTACCATGAATAGTTTTTATCTTTTCAAGTTCACTAATATTTTCTTCCCCATTGTCTAATCTGCCATTAGTCATATTCAGTATACTTTTTTTACCTCATGTATCATAATTTTCTTCTCTAGAAATGTGTTTTGAGTATTCCCTATCTTTACTAAACTTGTTCTTTCCTCTAGCTTCTCAAATATACAGCCCCACATCAAATTGATTCTTGCTTTGGGTTTGTCTGCCCCTCCTCAGGAACTATATAACTAAAGCCCTATTAGCCCTGGACAGTTCACATGAGGCCTTTCCCTTCTGCTTGGGTTTCTCAATTGATATATTGTACTCATCCACTGAGGTATCTGCTACCACACTTGGCACACATTAGTGTTTGGCTGGACTTTAACTTACAGACAGTGTAATTTCCTAGCTAAGAGTCTACTCACATAGAGTGCAGAATCTGACTATCTTGGTTTGCATTCCTGCCCAACCACCTGGCAGGCATGATCTGGAGTAAGGTATTAACTTCTCTGAACTTCAATTACCTCATCTTTAATAAAAATAATACCTACCTTCCCAGGTAATTGTGATGATTAAATGTGACAATATAAGAAAATTAGAATAGTGTCTGACTCCGAATTTTGTTGTTGTTGTTGTTGTTGGAATAAGAAGTACTACCAAGATTTATACCTGGGAATCTGCCTGTGTCAGTCATAGTCACTGTGTGGTATTTTTAAACCTGATGGACAGTCTGCTTTTTATGTTAGAAAAAATTTCCTTCTGTATTTATGGCTGGGCCAGCTTCTCTGATGCCCAAGTAAACTAGTCCTGGTTTCATCTTAAGTGGTAACATCCTAACTGCCTATTTAGACAGAAGCATTTGGGGAACAGCTTTTTAAGTCCTAAAAGTATCATAGGAATTATTTTTTACAATATTTGATGAAATTAAAAAATAAATGAACAAGAAAAAAGAAAGCTTTTAGGAAGTAATATTTCCAGGCTGTTAGAGATAAACCAACTTTATTCCTCATTGCTAATTTTTAAATCAACTTTTATATGTTTTAATTGTATCTCCCCCCATACCCCCACCAAAAAAACAAAAGTAAGCAGAGGACATTGGTGGTATATCGAAAGTCAGCAACTGTTTTGTCTCTGTGGTTTTACTTTTACAGTTCAGTATTCCACATTCAGAAGATGGAGAAAAAGTTAAGAACACACACATAAATTTAAGTTTTTTAATTAGCAATCAAGATAGATCTCAAGAAATGAGTTCTGATAATTATAGAGTAAAGCAGTATCTTGTCGACGGTACAGATACATGTTGAAGGTCAACATTTCACTTTTCAAAATATTTTTAAAACACTACCACCAAACTAAGCAGCATACATTTTCAAGCTTATTTTAGATTAAAAAGAAAAAAACTAACATTGATACTTTGAACACCAAATGAAACACCTAATGAATATTCTAAGTCAGGGATCATTACAATTTGCCTGCTCAGAATTCTTGAAATTAACATTTATTGTCTTGAGCTAAATAGCTCATAAGCGTTACCTTTTCTGTAGGATTAATTTATATCCTTCTAGTGATGCTCCCTCAGCGGCCTTGACTCTGATTGGATGACCAATAGCTAGGCAGCCCTGAGTTATCGCTCGGCTCAGGATCATTCCAGCCTTCCAATGAATAGAGAGGGGGGACAAAGGTCTAAATAAGTTAAAAGAACCAGAAAATTCAACAATGTGTCACAAATAGTGAGGTCATTATGCCTGGATAGCTCCGGATATTAACAGTTGCCGAAAGTGAAACACTACCCACAACTTAGCAGTCAGTGAGCCCTGCTCAGAACCAGTGATCTTCTGTCCGACAAGGGTGGCATTTTACAGTTCAGCGCAAAATAAAACAGACCTTGATATCTTCATTTGTCCTTTTCTACTGTGCATATTTCACAGTGCAGCGATTTGGGGTCTATCACGTGTCACTTGCTGGAGTTATAACTACAGAGCTTACTTGAAATATGTATGCATGGAAAAAAACGCAGTGAACTGAAAAGACTGAACAAATCCTTAACCTTCGCACCAATTTAAAGTTTTACTCTGGGTTTAAATACCATGGGTTAAACATTTTAAGGTGGTTCATGAACTTCTTTTGTTTTAAATGTTAGGATCCTCTGCCAAGGAAATTAATTAGGAGCATTGTTTAAGTGGTCATTTAATCATCTTCCTACTTAGTGAATCAGCACATTTTAAAAAAGTAACAACCACTAGAAAATCTATCCACACCTACTAGGGATTTACGGTATACAAAATTATCTGTCTAACCAGGTGAAAGGATTTGTTTTTGAAAGAGGAAGGGGAAGTTCTGACTGAAAGGATTTAAAAAGTGTTCTCTTAAAAGTGAAACTTTTATTTCTTATGTTTTAGCTGTATATAAAACACATGAAAACCAGAGAAATATATTTCTAAAACAGTTTGGTTCTAGTACACATTTTTATAATATATATGTATATATACATATATATATATATATATATATATATATATATATATATATATATATATAAAATAAAAAGACTGAGGTGAGAAAAGAAAGTCACTATTTATTAAGCACCTCCTATGTGCTAGATATTATACTTGAACTTCACACCTGCTTTCTAATTTCAACTTCATAGCAACTGTGGAGGCAGTTATGACTAATTCCATTTTATAAATAAAGAAACGATGGTTCAGTGCAGCTAAGTAACTTTCCCAAGATCACAAAGGGATTCCAATTCCAACCTTTCTTACTCTAAAACCATACTCTTTAGTAGGCATTTTAGTTATTTTGGGGGGAAATTTTAGATAGCATGGGTTTATTATGTCATAAAATTCTACAAAGTGATACCATAAAATTATAGTAAATATGAGAATTTAAAAAAAAATCTCCTATGTCCTCTGGTATAGCTCTTTTCTGATGAGCTGGCTAAGGCCCTGATACTGTGTGTGATTTGCCTGCTGTTGTACAGCTATTCATTCAGTGGCAGTGCTGAGGCTAAGACACCATGGCATTCATAGATTGGTGGAATATAGAGCAGTGTTTCTATGATGGTGAGAAGGCCTGAGAGCTGAAGTCAGGCAGACACAGAAAACCTTCCTTTGCTACTTACTAACTTCTGCTTCTTCAGCTGGTAGTGAAAATCTACACAGTTCTTGTAAGATGATGTGATAAATGTATATAAGGTGCCTAACAATGCCTGACATATGGGAGATGTTCAACAAAATGGTAGCCCTTATTATTAAATTAGAAACAAAATACAGTGTAAAAAGGACTAATAATAAAGACAGTCTCCAGTTCAGAAGCAGATGTTAGGAATACCTCATCTAGCCTTGCTCTTCTTTAGTATATGAAATAAATAACATGTATTAGTACATTAGTAGCTTTATTATTCTATGTGTTCATTTTTAACTCTCAGAGAATCAAAGAACAATAAGTAAGGGTAAATATAAGATTTCATTTGATAAAATCGTTTCAACCCTTCCTCCCCTCAAAACTAACTAGCAGCAAACTTGACTGGGTGATTTTGCATTCACAGAAGTGTTTAAGCAGCATTGAGCACCAACACAGTCTATCGGGGTTGGCAAAGGGAGTAGGAGAAGGACAGATATAAACTGCACCATCTCTTTCCAGCCAGAAATGCATGTTTACAAAACATATATCAATATTAAGAAGGTAGGTGATGGCAATTATATGTTGTCATGTAAGTCAGATTCAATTATGCAATAATAAAATTTTAAAATTAAGCATTGCCAATATACAGGTTAAAGTATGATGGGTATTTTTCACATTTGATACTCTGGGTTTTTTTAAATTATGCCCTTGCTAAGACTATATGCAAAGTCATAATGCGGTGTTAATCCATCAGATCCAATGATACTGAGAAGGTAAAGCTTGAGAAGACTAAGAAGTGGAAGCAAATGACTTGCAAATTTCATGAAAAGGGCAAGTCTGCAGACTATAAATAAGTTCTATGCTTGTTTTAAGTATATTCTGAGGTGTGAGTTACTCAGCATATCTAACACTGAATTGAATGCTCTCTTGGGGATCCACAAAAGTCTTTTGAGCTAGATAAGACCAAGAGCAGAGAAAGCAATCTTAACAGTCAACAGTTTACCACGTTTTCATTTACACATTCATGTGCAACAGGGTACTGTGAACTGAAGCAGCACAAGGAGCCAGCAAGCAAGGGAAAGTCACTTAGCAAGAGCAGACATTCTTAGGCACCTTGGTGATCAGCCACACACTGGCTGCAGGCCACAGGGTTGATGGAGCTATCTGACTCCTGCTGCTCACTTCACTACTTGAGAAACTCCGCTTTCCAATGGAAACAGATGCATGAAGGACAATATTGGGATCCACCTGCATCATGAGAACAGCATGAATTTTAAACCCACAGTCTAAAACTCAACCCTCCTCAACACATTATCAAAAATAAGTTATTCTAGAACAATATGTATGCTGAATGAGAAGTTCTTTTTCTAAAAAGTAGTGATCAGTCTTTTTAATTCAAGTCAATCAATATTCATTGAGCACCAATTCTAACATGCAAGACACTGGACTATATGGCATAGGATACTATAAAGCATTTTTCTTGCCCTAAAGAAACTTATAACAGAAACAAATTATTTCTTTCTCTTCCTCTCTCTCTCTTTACTCTCTCTTTTCCTCACATGCACATACAAGTTCATGTTAAACTCCATACAAATCATTGAATAGTGTTTTTATCATGTAAAAAAACAGTAGGTTCATTTCTTCTGGAAGAACCAAATAGTGGAGCATCTTGAAAGAGGTAAGATGTGAAATAGGCCTTGAAGAAAGGAGAGAAAATGACAGGAATAATGAATAACAACCAGAATTACAAGTAAAGGCAAGGAAGTTTAATCAATATGTTTTAGAAAGCTTTGGGCAGGCTTAAAAGGTAAATATGGCCAAACTGTAGAAAATGCCAAGTATAAGGATATGGAGTGGGTCAATAATAGGAAGCAGGGGGACTAGATTACAACAAATTAGGTAAAACCATCTGACAAGGATAGAAGAGAGACATCTAAGGCAAAGAAAACAATTGGAAGTCCATACATATCTCCTGAGATAAAAAGATATAAGCTGAAACTTCAGAGATAGTAGTGGGAATAAACGGGAGGGAACTAGTGGGGGAGACATCACATACATATCTCCTATGTTCATTGTCAGATCACACAACCCATGCTGCTTATCAGATTACAAATGTCAAAGGTATTGTGTCCTTTCTGGTGTTTCTCACTTAGACTTAATTGTCAAATTATCAGCCACTCATGTCACCTATAGGAATTCTACTACTTTATGCTTAATGAACTTTATATCCTAAATTACATGATTACTTATCCTGAGTAATCACTTTCTAAGCACCAATATTTCTTTGTGTAGGTTATAGGACCATACCAATTTATGTCTTAAACCCAATAAATGACATTGCTTCAATAACAGTTAAAATTATATTCCAATACTAAAAGTCCTTTCTATATTTGTGATAACATTAGATATCTGTTGAGTAATAATTATTTTAAAAATACACAAATTATTTTAAAAATTTAAATTATTATTAAAAATAATAATTTAAAAGAATATTTTACAAATGTGATGAAGCAAAAATATAAGGGTACAATTAATATATTTGGTAATTGTTCTATAATGGTAGATGGATATTACTCAAGAGAGAAAAGTCTCAAATATCTCTTCTATATGAAAATGATAACTTGAAAGATACAGCAACCCCCACCACATAAGCAGATTTGACTTACAGCTCTTTGATTATATATTCTCCAGTCAGCCAGTAGTGGCTGGATTGTGCAGGGGAATCCCCCACAGTCTCTGAACAATGATAAACTATATTCTACTAATCCATCCGCTGCAGGATTCAGCATTTAAAGTAGCACTCTTACTCAACCTCCTACTCCAAGTTTCCATCACACTCACAACTCCCCTCTGCAACTGGGCAGAAGATTGTTTTGACTGGAATTAGTCAGACAGAAGAACCGTACTGCCAACTGCTTCTTTGTACAGCACCTGCTGCCAGTGCCTAAATTCTTGTTATCTCCACAACATGGTTTAATCTTTTAACAGTTGGCTTATTGGTGAAGAGCGAAGGGGTCCTTTGTCTCTGCCTTGGGCTGGCACCCAGTATTAACACCATGCTGTTCTTCAAGAGATATTTTGCTGGACAGTTCCCAAGTGATTCTACATAGGGCAGACACAGCCAGGCCCACTAATGCCGCTTCATTTTGCATTATTAAAAAAAGAAAAGAGGAAGAAAAAGATGGTTCCTTCTGGGATTCTAGCACATTGAAAGCTGACGATGGCCTTTGATTTTTTTTTCTGTGATTGTATTTTCTTCTCTTTTTGCATCTAAAACATTCATTTCAAGAAATTCATTTTCAGTGCCTTGTATATATATAAAAAGAGACAAATTTCTCAGAAGGCACAGAGCAAAAGACTATTGTGGATCTGAGCCCAGTGAAAATGATTTTTCAAAATCTGGTTATGAAGAAGGAAATGGAAGTCATTCCAAGGCTGAGATGCTGCAAAATCCTCTGAACCACACAAAAATAGAAAAAGGCAACCCCCACATCCTGGGCCCTGGCAATTAAGATGGACATTTCCTTCCAAATCTTGGTTTGGGCAAAGACTTCACTTTCTGTTTACTTTAATCTGATAACTTAGCTGCACACTAAATATTTATAAGAGACAAGAGGTTAAAAAATATGAAAATTAGAATTCAAGGGAAAAAGTTTTCTGATAATTTGCAACATAATGTGTGTATGTGTGTGTATATGTGCAAGCAAATTAAAGCATTCATGTATGGGCACATGTGTACAAAAGCACTTATGTTGAGTCTGACCTAAACATATATGATCATATCTGCAACTGGGAAAACCTTTAAAAGTTCGTTTGTGAATCAAAAAAGAAATTCTTGCATAGCATTTTGGATACCTATATAGCGCTTTTTAAACAATCATTATAACTTCGCTTATCTAATTAAATTGTACTGATATAGAAACAGTCAATGACAGCAATGATGCATTCACATCCCACAAGTTAGAACTTCTTCTTTAACTTTTTTTCTGAAATGATGGGGGGGGGGGTAGCCTTCAATATTCTTGTGCAAATTCAAAATAATCAAAGGACCACTTACTGTTTTCTCTTGCAGATCTACTAAGGAACAGAGTACAAGATAATGAAAATCGTTCTAAAAGGAAAAGTTCAGAGATCATAGCCTTCACTCTGAATAAATTACTTACTTTACTACATGGAAATTTTATAAAAATTTTACTTTTGATCATGTATTTAGGGCCAACCTAAATAATTTTATACGTAACTGTAAGAAGAGTTACTAAAATCTCTTTGCTCATGTCTTTGCTATTTCCTCATAATTCTTTTCAACTCTATAGCAAAGAATTGGAAAAGTTTGAAAGCAGAAAATATTGTCAAAGACATATTTATACAACCAAACAAGGCAAAAAAAAAAAAACCTGCTTAAGGTCTCAGTGTATAGTCTTCAAATAATTTCCAGTTATTGATATTAAAATAAAAAGGGACTTGGAAATTTATTTAAAGTCCTGTGTTCTTTGCTAATGGCAATCAATTAAAATTTCAAACTAAAATATTATATTTGCTCTAGTATATAAACAACTTATAGAAAATATTACTTCTAAAGGATATGGTCTTCAAAGATATTGGAAAATGCAGAATCATTTGCCTTTTCTCAGCTTCGTTTTTGACAAAAGACTAATTCCATATTAATACTTGAATTTGAAGTTATAAATGTATTTTGCTAGTATCCTTAAATTCTGAACTTACAAGTTAACTTGTATCAATTATACCATAATTTTAAAATCATGACTTGGTGATTTTCTTGCTATTTCTATACAGAAAGTTATCACTAATGTCCTTCTAATGTCTATTAAGTAATGTACTGAAAGAATATGATCAAAGTAAGTTTTTTCTCATTCTGGCAAATTAGAAGACCTTCCAAACACTTGAGTCTATGTTGTCTGCCATATTTTCCCATAACCAGGCATTCCTTCAGGTATTTGTTTCATGATATGTTTTTTCTTTTATATTAACTATTATGAAGTTTAAGTCTCATCCATTTTGTGGAAACATATAATTTTGTTGCCCTTAAACTGAGTCAATCTAAAAGTGTTGTCAATTTAAGTAATAATAGAGAGCTGTTGAAAGATGTATGCGCCAAATCGTCAATTTGTAGTAGTTTCCAAATCTGTTTGTGAAATGGATAAAAGAGCAACAGGTTGTAATTGTCAGGGTTATATCTGTCTCCAACATTACAAATGGGGATTATATGTTCCAAATTTTTCTCTGTAGGAAAGGTTTTACTTGTCAATAAGAGATTTAAAAGAACAGTCAGGGGTTGGGCACTGATACCTCTATCTCCAGCCAATTTTAAAACCTATGCATCAAGAATATCGGTTTTTGCCTCCCTTCCCTCAGCCCCTCTTGTAATCCTCTTAGTGTCTTCTTACCTCAATGAGCAGGCAAGATTCTACAATAAAATGCCCTGTAGATATCTGTCACCTCTACCTGAATTCCATCTTTAAAAGTGCTCTTTTTCAGGTTATTAAATTACTATTCCCAATTCACTGATCACCTCTCAGTAAATAATTTGAGACATTTTTCTGAAAGGATTTTCAAGGTGTCCTAGCTAAGGGAGAGCCATTTTTTTCCTGAAAGCTTCTCTTTACTAGCCAATTTATCAAGTTTTTACATTCTTACACAACTATTTTGGTTGGACTTAAATTTTATTTCAATCAATTCTTTTCCCCAAAATACAAAAGTGTAAAAACATTTAAGATGGAATGGTTTCTCATTTCCACTAAATCATTAGCACCAATTAATGACAAAAATAACTGTAGACTGCTATACTCTCATTTTTCAAAATTAGAACATTTAAGTGATCTTATGAAGTTCTACTTTGGCAGGGAGAGAGAGAGAGAGGGAAAATTTCCTTTAGGTTCCTTTTCCCGAGAGCTTTTAGATATCTAATATTTTCAAGTTTGAGCTAATTTCTGTTGAGTTAGTTAATTAATAAGTTAATTAACTCATGAACTCAATTCAGTTTAGCAAACTCTGAGCATGAAGATACTGCAGCAGACACAAGGATGGTTAGGGCACTCTTTGCCCTTGAAAGATTTTCAATGTAGCAGAGAAGACAAGGAACTCTTGAATTATCTTCCTGACACGAGGCTCAGATCAGATCTCACCTCTGCTAAATATTTTTAATGGTTCCTTTATTTTTACAGAACAAGAACCAGTTTCCCTAGCATTCTGTTATGATCTGGATTATGATCTGATCCCAAGATTTTCACCACTGATCCTCAATCTACCTCTACACCACTGAGCCCAAAAGAATCTGAAATTTGCCTAAACTTGGAGTCTGGTTAACTTTGGTTCGTGCAAAAAAAAAAAAAAAAAAGTGGTAAGAGTAACATCTAGTTCAATGCCATTGTAAAGGGCACAGAAGGAATGCAATGAGAGTATCAAGACCAGAAATATTATATATGGTTTGAGGATGAAGATGGGGTAAAGAAATATTTCGTGAAGCATTCATGAAATCAGGTAGGGCTAGAATGGTGGGCAGAATTTCAACAGCATTTATTGAATGCCAACTACTGCCAGACTCCATGCTATCATATGGCACAAGGTGACAGAGAAAGCCAGGGAGTGGTGACAAAGAAAAAAAAAGGAGGCTGAATACTATGCAGAGGGATCCACATGAGCATAATAACAGAAATCATGGAGTGCTTTCAGAAAACAACAAATGAACAATTTGGCTTGGCTAACTCACAAAGAACATATTAGAGGATAGTCAGCCTTGAAAGATAGGTTATGGCTAAACAACAACAAAAAAAATCCATTCATCAAAAATGTATTATGCACTTGCCCTACATTCAAGATTCTGTGCTGGCACTTAGGAATACAGAGATGAGTAAGTCATAATGTCTGTGTCCAAAGGGTTCTCAATTTAGCAGTGGACAAAGAGACTAAAAGAAATGAGTATACACAAACACAAACTCTAAAATCAGTCTTCAAAGCATGTATGCAATGGGAATATCAAGACCAGAAATATTATATATGGTTTGAGGATAAAGATGAGGTAAAGAGATATTTTGTGAAGCATTCATGAAATCGGGTAGGGCTAGAATGGTGGGCAGAGAATATAAAATAGAAGATCAATTCTCTCTGGTGGGTATGAAAAGGCTGCATGGAAGGAGAACTTGCATAAAGTCATAGAGGCAATAAATTATAATGGTTGGGAGTATATCCCAGGTATAGAACAACACAAGTCATGGCACCAGTGTATCAAAAGCATGTTATGGAGCCAGGCAAGATGACACACACCTGGAATCCCAGATATTCTGGAGGCTGAGGCAGGAGGATTGCAAGTTTGAGGCCAACCTGGACAACTTACAGAGACCCTATCTCCAAATAAAATTAAAAGGTCTGGAGGGATATAGCTCAGTGGTAGAGTGCTTGGTTAGAATGTGTGAGGCCCTGAGTTCAATCCCCAGTACCCCACCTCCCCACCCCCCCACACAAAGACATAGAAGCAGCAGAACATTATGATATACAATTAATTAGCTCTGACTATAACGTACAGCACAGGATGAATCAAAAAGACAAGGAGATTGGAAAGGTTAAGTAGAGTAGGGTAGAATATAGCATCACTGTGATCAATTAAGGACAGATGAGAATTTGGAACACCATCAGGCAACAGTCAGGCAGATGACATTTTTTTGAGCAGGAAAATAATGCTGCAGCAAAAACAAGAAACTCTAAGGGGATTAGAACTGTGGTAAATAAATCTTAATGTCAAATAAATATAAAATACAAATGGCAGTAGTACATCATTCTATCTACTTTCATTGACTAAATTTGCTTAAAACCAGACATGATTAGAAATAGTGATTTTATTCCATTTTTATAATTTTATTATTTAGATACATACTCTTCTGAAACAACCAATGTTTTCTGAATAAATTTTGACATAATAGAGAGAATATAATGGGTAGCATGGAGAAATTTTTAAAAATCAGGTGGACACAATGAATCTTGCATTTTATTTTGGAAATAAAGAACCAGACGGGTTGACAGAAGTCCCCCTTTCTCTGGGCATCTCTATGTCTGTGGGTGTGGGTGCCCTTTTGCTTTGATTTCATGTATTTAAAAACTAAAGCTTATGCAGCCTAAATGAACAACAATCTCAAGCAGAGTTTTTCAGCCAAGAAAAACAAAACAATTATTCATTCCTTCTTTGTAGACATATTTAAAATGTCTTTTATAGTTTCTTTTGAAAAAAAAATCTTAGCCAAAGGATAAATTTCTAAATTTTTAAACAGACATTCTGGATTGGATTGCCAGTGAACTAAATATTCCTTTAAAGAATTCATTGACCTATAGAACAAATAGATCAGATCCTAAAGTACAAAGAGATAACAGCCATCTTAAAGACTTTCTTCAACAACTCCAACTTAATTAATAAAATTAGTACAAAGAAAATATGCCAAGCAATAGGACTTAAATGACATAATTCTAGTAGATTTTTTTTCAAGTAAGAATGCTATATATTGTTTCAGTTTTGAACGACTTGATTAACAAGAAGAAAAACAAAACTTGTCCCAACACTTATAAAAATAATTTATATTAATGCATGTTCAGAAGTATTCACTCAGTCACCATAGTATATTGACTGAGTACCCTCACCGTAGAATGTAGCTATTAAGTATAACAAATAAAATCTGACCTTATTCTGTAGGAAATGGCTCTCCAAGTCCATCTTTTCAAATTGATCAGGTATCTGTTGACTGGTGCAGTCGAAATTAATTGGAAATCCCTCACAAATGTCCCAACTAACAAAAGTAAAATATTTAATTATTTTTGTCAGAATAAAAAGCACTAAACTGTTTTATTCTTTTCTAGTATAATTTATACATCTTATTCTCTACTAGTAAGAGAAAAAAACAATGTACAGTTCATAGTCTTTTTAAACAGAAATTTATAAAGTATATTGGTATTTATAATTAAAAAAGAGAGGCCTTAAAATTTTATCTTGCAAATGTTTATGATATTGACTAATTAATTATTAATAAAAAAAGGATTTTTAATCTTATAGAATCACTTGTGGAGAACATCTTCATTGTTACATTTATATTCCAAATACACAGACTATGAATAATAAAGGATATTTTATGCTTACAATGGTTGTTCCAAAAATACTAGTTTGGTATTTTCAAGAGAGCCATAGGAGACATTGCAATCTAGTGGGTATATGGAAAAACCACAAACTAGAGAGGTTGAATGTCATTCTTAATTTAGCTAAATAACTTATCTTAAAAGTCCCCCAATTGTTATCCTAACAGCAACAACAAATCACTGGCTCAACACTGATGTGTTAGGATACAACATAGAGCATGCTATTCAACAGAAAACAGTCCTGCGACTGGTAATAGCAATTTTTATCAATTCTCTGAGAAATATGAGAAGAACTTGGTTATTAATATTTCAAGTGATCCTTGTAATCCCAGCAGATTTGGAGGCTGAAGCAGAAGAATCATGAGTTCAAACCAGCCTCAGAAACTTAGCAAAGCCCTAAGAAACTCATTGAGACCCTGTCTCTAAATAAAATATAAAAAAGCAGCCGGGGATGTGGTTCAGTGGTTAAGTGCTCCTGGGTTCAATCCCTGGTACTCCACCCCCCAAAAAAATTCTGATTTCAAGTGACTCATTATTGAGCATAGAAAGAAAATTCAAATGAAATGTAAAAATGATATTGTCTAACAAATTATTTTAGATTCCATAAAGGCAGCTTACATTATACTTAGAGACTTAGACCTAATTTGAGTCAACTCAGCAATTCAGCAAAGCAGTATTCAAAGAACCTGGGCAAGTAAATTTTTAAAAAGGACTGCATGAAATAAAAATATAAACTCCTAGCTAAAACTTTAAGGTAAAGTATCTAGGCAGACTTAACAACTTGGGTAAAGATTATTGCACACAAAATAAATTTTCTTATCAATGAAAAAATGTCTATAAAAAAGATTGCCAATGAATTATTTTCTATCTATAAAGAAAAAGAATCAAAAGAAACAGAGTCATTCTTGCCTGGAAAGTACAAGGAGTCATTGGGTAATATAGCTTTGTTTAAATAACTGCACGGAAGACCAGTGAGTACAGCCTTCAACATGTATTTAGCAATACGTTGTCACTAGCTAGGCTGAGTGAACCACATCAGTGCTTTACTTCTCTGGGTATACCCTCTATTCAGCCTTTTCAAGCATATATTAAGGAGAAGTGTAGTTTGTTAAATTAGGCAATGTTAAAGCTAGATGGAGGCCTTATAGATAAATCACCTAATCTAAACCTAGTATCAGTATCATGTCACTATATCCAGTATACTAGTCATTAGTTATATATTCATATTAAATTTAATTTAAATAAAATTTAAAGTTCAGTTCCTTGATCACTTGAGTCACATTTCAAGTGTTCAATAGTCATTGTGTGTGTTTCCATCACCATAGAAAATTCTACTGGACAGGGCTGGGTAGTAGTTAGGCACTCAGTTCCTGAAAAACAGTTGACCTAGATCAGAATCCTGGAACTACCATGTATAGGCTGTATGACTTTTGGCAAATTACTTCTTTTTGCCTTGGTTTCTGTCTCTGAAGAATGTAGTAATAGTAGGGTTATGGGGGATCATGGGATTTAAATCATTGTTTTGAAGATTAAATACATTCTTACCCAATTCATTTATAACTATGCCTGTCCTATAGTCAACACTCAGTAAACACCAGCTTTTATTATTTACAGGAAAGAAACAGACAATCATGTTCATGGACAATCAAACAGAGATGAGGCTAGGCTCCCAGACCCTCGAACTTCTTCTGTCCTCTTCACTGTCTCACCAGTCCTCCAGCATGTTACTTTTGTTTTAAATTTATCATCATCATATGAAATGCTTAAATATGAACACTCATATGGAGAACTTATAATTTTTTTTATTTTAATGACCCCACTTAAAATTTTAGAAATAAGCATTAAAAATAGATTTTACATTTCAATCAAAATTGTTACTTATGTAAAACAGAAAGTATAGCCTGCTCATTGCCCTGTATGATTTTTTAAAAACTAAGGAAAGTTAATATGTCTTTTGGCACAACCTCATTATGCCATGGAGTAACTCAATAAAATAAATAATTGCTAAGATAATTCAAAGAACACCTTCTAGTGTTTCAAATTTCTCACTCAGGGAAAACGTGAATTAGGTGATAGATTACTTTAATCAAATATATGTTAATTTACTTGTCACATCCAGGTAGCAGAACAGCATTAGGATCCAAAAAGGTCTTATAGGCAACTGTGATGCCACCTCTGGCAAATGCAGTCACTCGGTCAAAGGTCAAACCCAAAACAGGGTTTAGTGGAGATCTGAAAAATGAAAAATCTGTCAAAGCTATCTGCTAATTATACATTCACTGAAATTTGAGCACAAATAAATAATAAAAGTATACAATATCAGTGTCTAAGAAAATCTAGATATAAATGAAATTTCCCATTATATAGCATTATTGTTGGTATCCTGACACCTGAAATGTACTTTTAGTTTATTTAGCTCATTTATAATATGCCAAGAATAGTTATGACATATATAATTTTTAAAATAATTGCAATAATAAAAGCATTTAGCTGAGAAAACACTTATTTATATGTTATTCCTTTTTCACATATAACTGCAATGCATCCATAGTGATATCTGCAACTGTTAGTAAATGAATCCTTAATATCTGACCACTATTTTTTGCAGACTTACTAGGTATTTTACTGATTTGATTATCATATTACATTGTTTAAGACATTCTGTCTCAAGTGAATTTGGGAATAAAAATTAAAATGAAAACATCTTACATAAAAAGAATGATCACTATGTCCATTGAACCATTTTTCTTTAAATTGGTAACAAAGATTTGTTATTTAACTCTAGAATTAAAGCACTCAAGCACTTCACCTGTGCAGTCTTATTGCCAGAAATATTGAAACTGAATATACATGAAAAGACACTGAGACAAATATAGGTTGTGTATAGCCTACTAGAAAAGTACCTGATTCTTGAAAAAAAAATTATGGAAAGCAAAACAAAGATGAAGGAATATTTTTAGATTAAAAAGAACTACAGAAAACAACTAAATGTAATACAGGAAGCCTACATGGATACCAGATTATAAAAATCTATAAAGCATATTTTGAGTAGCTTAAAATATAGATCGCATGTCAGAAGATGACACATTATTATTGACTGTGTGAAATATTATAATGTGAAAATTTTACTCCTAAATGCTTCAGATAACTGAAGAGTTTAGGAGAGAAATTGTCTTAGTTGCCTGGAATTACTTTCAAACTAATCAAGAGAAAAAAAGAGATATAAGAAAGGCAAAACAAATATGGAATATTTTGTCAATTGGTGAATTTATGTGAAGAATATATATTCATTATACTATTCTTTCAACCTCTCTGTAGATTTCAAATTTTTCAAAATAAAAATTGGGGGGGGGGGGAGGTAATAATTAAAAGACTCAAATATTGGACAAAATCATCTTCTACAAATGAGTAGTTTGGTACCCCCCATTATCAACATAATTCAGACACATTAGAATTACTTTTTAAATATGAGTACTATTTAGGCAGTACATATTGCACATTTTCTCAATATATTTTAAAACAGATGGCAATAACTTTTTAGACATACAAATTTTTAAATTTCCAAGGGTGGCAAAATGCTAAGGTTACCTGGTATGTTCAGCAGACTAGTGCTTTATTTTCCAAACTAGAAAAAAATGCATTATCCTATTAAAATAATAATAAATACAAATAAATATATGCATTTTTAAATTTCTGGAGTTACACTCCTCCTTAATTAATTTTTGGATATTCCAGATTATAGACATTTTATTAGTTATTCCACAAATACAATCCGATCCATCAAGAACAGTGTTTGATATTTGAAAAATAATATAGCAAACATCATTAAAAACATCAAAATCATTCACTTTGACAATGACATTCAGAAGAAATAATGATGACACACTTTATTAAAGCCTTTCCTTGTAATTGGAAAGGCTTACTAAATTATTCAAGAATTCTTGCCACTTTAAAATTCATTACTATTTTCATCATTTTTAAAAAACACTTATTTTCAAAATTTCATTATATTATTTGCTTGTGAGAAAAAACTTAACATTTTTATTGATATTTTTAATTCTATAAACTTCACAGAGTAAGAAATCATAAAATATTTTTATTTTATTCTTCTGGGACAGATGGAACAAAATTTTGTTAAAATGATACCATGACTTATTCTATCAACTCTTCTAATACTGTCAACAATTTCCGACTGGAGTTTTGTTTCAATATTTGAAATTTTGACTATTTGAAAAGATAGAAAATTCAATCAGTCCCTTGTCTTCTAAGAATTAAGCCTGTCTCTGATTTTCTTTATAATTAACATGATCAATTATACCACATATACAAAACTATACTACCCTTTTCTGTTTTACAGCTAAATAATGAGCTCAGAAAATTAAAAATAGGCAGAAAAGTGTGTTTAAGTTTTCTGACAAGCAGTTTCGGAGTTCATCTGGATGTGTCCTGTCAAAATATGCATAAATTTCCAAGATATTCAACACAACAGCCCAGCTCATCGGTGCCTGTATACTATAGTCATTTTCTTTGGAAACACAGATAATTTTATGCAGGAATTTACCAATCTATATAAATTTACACAATGCTTAGCAATAACCAGTAATTATTGTGGGATAATATAAGGAGCTTTTGAGAAATATGACTTTGATAGGCTAGGGCTTACAAGCTTTACCAATGTCCTGTCATTGGTGCTTAAAAGGTTAAGACTTTATTTGTGAAAACATAGAGAGATAGTGGGGAATCATGTTGTCTACAGCTTCATAAATCTTGCTTAAGATCCTTTTCAATTACCATCCATTTCTCCTTTAAAAAGGGACAAAAAAATAGAGGAGTGGAAGCAGGTCAGGGCAGTGTGCGACAATGACAGTGTGATGGGCTTGGGCCCCCCGTGGCGTTTCCATCTGCTATCATTAAGGTGACTACTCAGACATGAACAAATCCCTCTTGCTGTGCTGACAGGCAGACTTCAAGAACTATGACAAGGCATTAAGACAGAAAGTCAGAGAGAGAGAGAGAGAGAGAGAGAAAGGGGTCATATTCCATAAACAATGCTGTCTCACAAAAATGTCCCTGAAATTTTATTGGAATTCAATTTTTTTTTTTAATTTTATAAAATGTGCCACTTGGCTTCTCGACTCCTCTTAATTAGCTCACCCCTGGAAAGACTGAGGACAGACAGAACAAACACCTCATTCCTACCTGAATGCTTTACCATAAGAGACCCAAATTTTTTGCTCATTCTTCAGCAAAAGTGGATTCTTAATTTCTTGACCATGCTCATCGAAAAGCCGGGCTGAAGAAAAATTGAGGCCTGGTGTGTTGATGGAAGAACCTCGAAGCCTCTGATGAATCTTGAGAAGTAACTGGTAGAGGGTGGGGAAGGGGGATGAAGACATAACCTAAAATGTGAACATCTGTAATAAACTGTCTCCACTCTGTAACAAATGAAGTCCAAACAAATGATAATTAAATGCATATAGAATGTTAAAAGAAGTGTGAAATGACGGCAATGTTTAGCTCAGTGTAAAGTAACAAAATGAGCATGGGCTTTTAACCAGCAGGGGGTGCCACAGGCTTGTGATTGAGCTCTGACCCTTTGGCACAGGGAATGAAAGCAGATGTGACAGTCTCGCAGAAAGAGCATTTAGCTTCTACAGGAGGCAACGGTCCTCTTTGATAAGGGTGATGCTTTTCTTGTCTGAGCTATGCATTTTGTTAGGGGCCTTCAAAGACCAGGGTCAAGTTTTACAATAGGCAATCTCCCTGTCCCCAACTAACCTCAGGTAACTAATGGTAGAAAAATTCGCCACTTAGAGGATTGCAAAAATAAATATGATTTTCAGTCTAAGTTGATTCACTGAGAACTCTTTCTGGAAGCATTTTAATTATGAGCCCTGCAAATGCTTATGAACATCTTCAATAATGGATGTTTTCAAGTTGTGAATAAGATATCACTGAAGTGTAAAGTATGAAATGCTGTCATTTAATATTTGAAATCATAGCATTGCCAGTGTTTGCTTCTATCTTACATTTAGAGACTCTAAATTATCAAGATATTTCTAATTGAAGGCACATTTCAAACATAAAATAAACCTAACTGAACTGTGTTGCATATGGTGTTTTAAAAGACATCTTTTCATTATCATCCATCACCTTTGTTTCAGTGTTCCGGCTTCTGCTCTTTCTGCTCTGCACCCCACACTATCCATCACTCTGTTCTCCCCCCAGCCTTCTGTCACAGGCTTCCTTTACTTCTTTTCCTTGTCAGTTCTTGTGTCTCTCAATTTCTTGTTACTCTATAATTCCTGCAGCGATATGGATATAGTTGTGGTCTTTGCTTGTCTAGCTGCAATTTAGAGTCCTTTTTTTTTTTAAATCCTTCTATTAATTTCCATTGAAATATATTAAGAAATGCTAAATGCTAAGGTTCAGAGGAAAAGAAGGGAAAATTGCTGTCCCCCTGTACACCTCAGGTGTCTCACTAATTTTCTATAAACTCTTGACTTACTAAACAAATTTATTTTGTCATCAAATATGTAATGTCTAAGAATTAGGCTTTGCCCTCAAGATAAATAATAGTATCTCTAATTTCAGTGTTTTATCAGCTCTATACTGACCACATTTTTTAGTCTTAAGCATCAGAAAGGCTGAAAATTATGACACATTTTTTTTTCATTTCATTAAAGTTAACGTTTCTGATCCAGCAGAGACGAAATTTTTGATTAAAAATGGTGATGCAAAGGCATTAATAAAAACTTGCCTTGTTTTGTTTTTGTCGCTGGAACCACAAATGTGTTTTGAAATCTATGGGTTGTATTTCCAAAGCCCTGCATTTATTTCTGTGTGATCTCAACCCTGAATCTTAGTTTTGTTGCTTTGCTATTATTTCACAAAACATATAATGCTGATCATTCTTTAAATCACAGAGATTTTGCTTCTTGGGCATCACCTTTTTGTAAAGGGAGAAGATACAAAAGATTTAATACCTGATCCAGCAAAGAAAAAAATGAGCACAAAGGACAGGGGTATATGGTAGACATGGGATGCGAGCACCTGACCACTTAACCAAATTCACTTTCACAGGAGTTGCATTGCAATCTCTATTTTCTCAACTTGGTGACAGACTGCACTTTAGGTGTTCAAAGATGAGCATTCGTCAGCCTACAGGAGGTAAGAGCCTCAGTGCCTTTCATCTATAGATCATTGGTTAGGGCTGGGCTGTGGAAACCAAAAATTGTGATAATCTTCACCCATTTATCTTTAAAGCTATCATCACCTGGCCTTTATAGGATAAGAATTTGTTCAGGGATCTGAGAAGAGTGTGGAACATCTTAGGCTAGTGATTGAGAAGAGTGTCCATACAAGGGAACAGTCATGCTTGGGTGTCTCATGCAAGGGCTGTCTCTAACAAAGAGATTTATAATGCCTCTAATTAAAATTTTCCCCCAAATTTACTTGCATATACAAGCAAAGCATAATCTCAATGTGCTATAAGTCAATACAAGAAATTTATATACAATAAATCTTCCTTCTATGATAAAATATCATTTTCAATTTTAGCATGAATGAAAAAATAAAATATTCTAATGTGAAAAGTCAGGGAGTCAAGTGAAAAATTCTGGGAAGGCTTTTTTTATCATGATGATTTGCATATTCAGTGGTGTGATGGTAAAAAGAAACATCAAGGCTCCAGATCTTTCTCTAATCAATCAAGGTAGCATTTCCCTATTTCTTCTGGGTCTAGCTAATGATCCAATGACAGACTCCCAATTCATATGCAACTTTTGTGATTGGCTGTAAAGGACAGGTAATGGATTCCACCAGGGAGAGGTAAGTCTGGAAGTGCTAAACTGAAATGGGGAGAAAGGAACAAGCTTCTAAACAAAGGCCAGGCAATACAGCCCAAAACACTGGTGTGCACTCGGGCGCATAACCCCAATTTGTAAACAACAGGGAGTTCCGTGTCCTTTTATGCAAGACAAAGACCTAAAATAATGACCCTGAACATGTTGGTTCTGCCTGAGAAACATCCCAATTGCCTGGAAAATAAGCAAAGGTAAAAGTGCCTAAGATAAACCAGCTGGAGCATGGGAGAAGATCAGAGTTGTATGTTAGTCACTCAGGTTTAGGGCTCAGCAACATCCTAGGCTCAGAGCATACCTTCCACTCAATATCATGCCTTTCTTGTTAAAGTGTAAAAACAGAGAGCAATCCTGGTGTATCAAAACCATGTCCTGCTGTGAACAGATTTTTCAAATATAAACATGATGAAGGTTAAGATGGTGTTTAGGTAAAGGTTCAGGAGTTAATACACTACTGAAGCTCAGCTCATAGAGGGGCAAATGATTGATCTTTTGTACCCAACTTTAAGATGTAATTGTCTAAATTAATTGTAAGTAACTTGGAAACACTTAGAGTCATTAATAAATAATAAACTCACTCTTTCCAACATATTGTCAGTCTGAGTTGTTCTATTAGAGCCTAAATCTTTTTTACTGATATAAACAGAGGTTTCTGCAGTGTCTTTACCATTTTCAAACACCTGAAAAATAAACACAGTGAAAAATTACAATAAACACATGCACACAGATACATTTATTTGTACATACATACATAAATGCTGGTAGTCTTTGCACAGAACTGTGTCAACTGAACTTTGTGGGAGATGTGCAAAGCAAGAACCAACTATATGAACATGTGCAAGTGAATAATTGGCAATGGAAATCAATAGTAATCAAAAGAATAGTATAAAGTAAAGACCCTGCTTCTCCCTTTGGTTTCAGTGTCCAATCTGATTCACATTCCCTATAATCTTAAAATAGAAGAAAACTTGGACACTGAAGGAAAAATCACTGGCCACAAAAAAACTCTTAAATGGAGGAAGCATCAACGAAAGGTCAGCTTGCAAACCAATTAACTAGCTCATTTCGTTCTTCTTGAAAAACATAAAACCACAAATTACATGAGGAATGTTTGATTTATATTTAAAATAGATCAGTGTTCAGCTCATCTTTTGGCTTACTAAAATTCAACTTGACAGATTTATTGCATAACAGTACGATGAAAGTCATTCATTTTAAGTGCATATATCCAACAAGTTGTTGAGAACAGAGATAAAATTCATAACATTGCATTATGCAACACTCACTGGGGGAAAAAAATACCGGCAAATGTTCTGGTCAAAAGGATCCGAATAAACCAGTCCCGACAGGACAGCTCCACCAGAGTGAACACTACCCCTCTGACCATACTGAGGATCCATGCAGGGTGTGCCATTCACTAGGCAAGAAAGGAAGCAGGCCAGAGGGAGGCCTGATGAATAATTTAAATCCTTGCTTTTTATTTTTTTTCCCTCAAAAGTTCTTTTTTTTTTCCCTTTCTGATATGCCCATCACATCAGTGTAGCCATTTTATGTATTTCTAGAGCTATTTCCAGAGAAGGCAATTTGGGAGAATAACTCATTTAAAAACAAAACTGTCTTTAATGCTGTTGCAACCGTTCAAAATGTATTTCATTAGCTTTAACCCTGTTTAGGGAAGAATGTGTTTCAATAGCACTTCCTCAGCCTTTATTTCATAAAATAAAATAAAAACAAAAAGAGTAATAATGTTAAGACTGTAGGCTCCATTCCACTCAGTGCTTTCCCTTGAGCTACTGATTGTGCAGGGGAGACACTGCAGCTCCAAGACTTGGTGCATTGACATTCCACTCCCTTCACTGTCTTTTCCAAATGGAAATTTTAAAAAGTACTTTTCTGAATAAAGATACAATTCTGAGCAAGAAATCTACTTTTGCAAAGAACCTTCGGAACCCAATTGCTGCCTGCAAACTTATGGGAAATAAAGGGGGGACGGCGGGAAATTTACTGTCCCAATAATCTCTTCAGGGCTCTAATCTAGCACAAAACTCTTAAGAGAGAAATTCACAATGAAGGTCACACTCTGGTGGCATACATTCTGCAAGATTAGTGTTGACAAAAGCTCAGTTTGAAGAACTTATTGATGTTCCTTTGTTGAGACTTGCTAGACGAGGAGTCAGAGTGCAGCGAATTATATTCTAGGAAATAGCAGTGTGAGTGCTAAGTGCCAAACTGAGAAAGCAGAGAGGATTTGGTCAACACCTAACACCTTCATTAGCTCACTGCTTTGTTCACTACCGATTATAAGACTTCCCTAGGATGTCTAAAAATGTGCTCTCCAGAGGAAAAAACAAATGAACAACAACAAAAAATTGGCTATGACTGCCAAAATAGCAATAAGGGCATTTAAAAAAAGAGGTGTTTTAATGGTAAATCAAACATTTAGATGTTTAAGTCAAAGAAGGCTGCCCTCTGTGAGTCATTCATGTAATGAATGTATGTCTACAAAAATAAAAATTCTCCAAATAGATATTCTATGAGATTCCGTTCTTAAGATGTGGCTTTGCTCTAAAGCTCTATGGTAATATGCCCGTTTTAAGAAATATGTAAGTCCTATATGTATATATTTGTCCTTCCTTTGCAATGAGGAGTATCTTTATTTCTAATGCCCAATGTTTAAACAAAGATAATGCTCTAAATAGAATTTCTAAGGTTAACTAAATATACAAAAATATTTTAAAAATTGTTTACCTTTGTTTTCCTATTTTATCATCATTGGCTTAAGAACAACTGGCTACTGTATTTGCTTCCCCATGGCTTGCTGATGCCTCCACCTTCCTAAAACTAAATCCTAATCCCTTGGTGTAGGATGACGCAAAAAGCAGCTGGGGCTAGCCCTGGGATCAAGAAGTAAGAAAATAGAACCTAAAAAATATTGATCCAGATCCTCTTGACAAACATGGTAGTTGATAACTGCTGAAGAAACACCTAGGAAAAGGAATTTACTTCTATGGCTCTAGTTACACAAAGTACAGAGTTCTAAGAGGAATGTTTTCCATGCACCACAGTCTTTTCACTTTCCTTCATGTAGATATTGACTTTTCTTGAGCAGGATTAAATTAGATTGACACCAAACATTTATTTATAATGTTGTGAATTCATTAATTCATTCAGTGAATGTTTAAATAAACATTTAAGTACCTGAACAGTAGTGGATACATGGTAGGCACCAGGGAGAAGACTATTGATCTCAAATTTGGGAAAATCTTCATCAAGTTTCTTTAAAATATAAGCTATAAAATGTGGAAGATTTTTCTGCAAATTAGTTGGCCCTACAAATTTCATGTTATGTTTATCCTTCACCATCTATCCACATACCTTCATCGTCAGGCACTCTCGTACACAGAAAGAAAGCAAGATCCTATATGGCCAACAGGCAATAGCCTTCTCCCTGGAAGCTTTTCCCACACCAAAAAGGCTAGTACTAGCAAAACCATACAGATTAGTTACTGAAACTACTAATTACATTCACCTACACCCAAACTAAATGTAGTTATATAGTTTGAATCTTTTTTCTTTCTTTCTTTTTGTGGTACTGGAGATTGAACAAAGGACTTCATGCATGCTAGGCAAGTACTTTACCACTGAGCTACATCCCAGTGATAGTTTCAACCCTGAATGTCCCCCAAAGACCTATGTGTTAAAGACTTGGTTCCCAAGGTGGTTCTACTGAAAACTCATAGAACCTTTAAGAGATAGGGCCTAATAAGAAGTTCTCAGGTCACTTGGGTTATGCCCCTGAAGGAGATTGTGGAACCCCAACCCCTTCCTAATTCTCTTTGCTTCCTGGTTCATTATGTGAACATGTTTCCTCCACTATGTACTCATGCCATTACATGCTCTCCTGACAGAGGCTTAAAACAATGGAGCTAACTGATCATAGACTGGAACCTCAAAATCTGTGAGCCAATATAAACATTTTATCATTATAAGTTAATTGTCTTAGGCATTTTGTTATAATGATGGAGTGTGAGCTAACAGATTCTAAATCAATTTCCCCTTTGCCATACCTCAAAAAAAAAAAAAATGTCTGCACCCACTGCAACATTACCTGGTACAGGGAGAACATGAAGGAGAGGAATCTGGACTGAATAATGATCTAAACTAGTTATAGTTAAAAGATAAAGAGGTTTGCAAATTTTACAGGAATATGTGTCCTTTTGAACATCCATGTGAGGACTAGGGCCTATTCTGGGCTTTTGGGAAGGGACTTAGGCAGAGAAGGAATCCTGAAGCTTAAGATTCTTTTACTTTTTCTTTTTATGGTAAATGCAGCTCTGTAACTTATAAGGTAGTAAGTGTTATATAAAGAAGAAAAAAACATAATAGGTCAGAACAGGCCTGAGATCAAGGAGTGGCATGGGTATGATAGGCACCATATGAAGTGAATGCTCAGGATAGACCTAAAGTGGAGTTAACTATTTGAACAAAGATTTAGAAGAGGGCTAGCCAAGCACAAAGCTTAGAGAAGAGCATTGTAGGCAAAGGGAACCACTACAGTAACTAAATTGGGCATTCCTGTGTCTAGTATGTTCCAGGACCATAAGGAAGTTAGTGTGACTAATGCAGAGTGACACAGAAGAAAAGGAAGTAAACATGAAATCAGAGTGATAAGCACAGAGAGTGGAATGAGGAATCATTGGAGGGTTTGGAGCCGAGTAGTAACAGGATCAGATTTACATTTTTTTTAAAGTCATTATGGCTGCTAGGTTGTGAATAGCTACAGACAACAAAAGGAATCTGAAGGGTCCATGACATTGGCTCACACCAGAGTAGTAACAACGCACATGGTAATAAATGGTCCACTTCTGTTGTTCATTCCAGAATAATTTTTTGCATTTGCTTATTAGTAGGACTGGGAAATAAAATCTGTAGCTAGACTAACATTGGGTAAAACATGATTTCTGCATCTACAAAAATAAATTAACCAACATAAATATAACTGTTCATATATAGTATTTGTAAAGTCATAAAAATGTCAACAGAGTTCCAAAAGAATTTTATTTACTGCCAACATTTTGTAGAGACAGTTACCAAAACTTAAACTATAGGAAAAGCTCTCTTGAATGGGGAATTATGAGCCAATATAGTTCTTTGATGAGTTTGCCTGGCATCACTTGTGACATCTATCCAAGAGCTGTGTAAGTTCTTGTTCCACACCATTATCTGACCTTTAATGCTATAAGTCTGGTTAAGAGCTAGCTGTGGAAGAACAGCAGGTTCCCAAACTCTCTACAAACTGGAAGACCACCCAGGAAGCTCTGTAGTGCGTGAGCAGAAGGCCAAACACCTAAGCTTCAAAATGCCTCAGGATGTAATGCTGTCAAGAGGCAATAATAGAAAAATGACACCACAGTGTGCTGTCAAAAGTTGAGAGGCCATATAGTAACAGGATTTACTACTAGAGGTCTGGTACAAAAAAGAAATATAAAATAGCCTTACAAAGTTATCTGTCATATTTCAGGTGAATATAATTACACATGTTGAAATAACGTTAACTTACATCTTGTATTGGACTGGGGTCCCCTGGAAGCAGACACTGAAACCAAGATTTTTCTTCAGGAAGTTTACTGGAGAGCATTCAGGGGCAATACTGGTAAGGGAGAGAAGCTGAGTGGGCAGG